TTGTTCACTTCCATCCGTATATGTACCTGCGTATGAGAGATGTAGAATTACCAGCTAATCAAGGGATCTAACATTGTCTTGTTATTCTGTTCAGATATAAACGAGTGTAAACCCTTTAAGAACAACTGTTCCTTAGACGCTGAGTGCGTAAACACCGAGGGCTCATATGAGTGTCGATGTAGGCCTGGTTATCAAGGAGACGGTTTTACCTGCGTCTGTGAGTCTCGTTTTTTTTTTTCAGTCTTTTTTTTGAAATGAAATGACAGTATGTTGTGCTGCTGAGGTTCTGCAAAGGGATTTAGGTAGATTGTACTAAGGATGAGGAATTTTCCAATGGTTTTTTTGATTTTATTTAGATTGTGTGAAAGACTTTTTCTAATGCTTTTTTCGTCCACCACTCTATCGTTTTTGGATAATCTTTAGGATTTAAATTCCTACAGTTCCATTAAAGGAACATTGCTACATCACTGGCCATCAAAGTGCTAAAATTATGACTGTGTACCTTCGCTCGTAAACCAAACGTTCCTCGAAAGCACCATATGAAATTGTTAAGTTAACTGATCAAGAGAAAACAGATTGTTAAGGCGACAGATTTTTCCAACCTTCCAGGCTTAATCAATTTGACATCCCAGTCTTCTGCATACGTATCTTATTATATCGCTCTTTTTATAGCTTCAATGCTCTCAGTAATGTGGTAAATTTGACAAACGTAGACCGTTCTGTTACATAAAAAATTGTTTTTCGAATTTTAAATTTTGAAGCTCTGCTCTTGAAAGTGATCCTTTAATATTTAATTTAAATCCTTTCAGCGGATGGCTCCTGTGAAGGGGTAGTTTGTGACTCCAATGCCGAATGTCTCCGATCGTTTATCGAAGGACGGCGACAGTGCAAGTGTAAAGATGGTTGGCAGGGAAACGGTAAAACCTGCTCCGGTAAGGCTATACAATGTTTATAACTTCAACTGGTCCAACATGTTTTATGAGTGAAATAAAATAGCGAATGCGTATGATGGCTAGCATCTACGGAAAACGCCGAGGGCGCAACCTACCTAAAACAAGCTAAACTCCCCCCATATGAACGTAACAGAAGCGAACCAATGGAAATTAAACTAATGCCATGGCTTGCATTCTGATTTGCGGAGGGTGTTCGACATTGTTTGCTTCTATCCGCAGAAGTACCTGTCCGTAAGAATAAGCATATCATCAACTAGTCAAAGGATCTAACATTGTCTTGCTATTCCATTCAGATATAAACGAGTGCGAACCATTCAAGAACAACTGTTCCTTAGAAGCTGAGTGCTTAAACACCGAGGGCTCATATGAGTGTCGATGCAGGCCTGGTTACCAGGGAAACGGCTTCACCTGCTTCTGTGAGTCACGTTTTGTTCAGTCTTTATTAACCTGTAATAATTTCGCCGTACTGTAAATTTTACTATGTCGCTAAAGTTTTACTCAGGTCGGCAAGGAAATTTAGGTAGACTATATTATGGAGCAATTTTGCAGTCGTTTTCCTGACAATGTTTGACATAACTTGTAAGAATTATCAAAAATTGTTATTTATCTCTATCTCTTTGGATAATCTTTGGATTAAAATCCTTATAGTTCTATTAAAGAAATGTTGCTACATCTTTAGCCACATAAGTACTAAAAAGAATAACTGAGTACCTTATAATTGGCTCGCACACACCACTGAAATGTTCCCCCAAACCACCAAGCTGAGTTGGAAATATTCAGTCAAATGATGAAGGGGGGACTACGTAAACGTCGACTTATTTGAAAACGTCTGCCAGGCTCTCTCAATTTGACATCACAACCTTGAGCATATGTAACTAATTATATCACTCTTTTTGTAGCCTCCGTACATTTATTTAGTAAATTAACAAAAGTAGATCATTATGTTTAGGTTTAAATCAATGACAAGATGTCGTTCGGGATGTGATCGACTTTTTCGAAGCTTTGCTAATGTAGTAGCCTGTTGATATACTTTTATTATTTAATTTAAATCCTTTCAGCGGATGGCTCCTGTGAAGGAGTAGTTTGCGACTCCAATGCCAAATGTCTCCGATCGTTTCCCGAAGGACGGCGACAGTGCAAGTGTAAAGATGGTTGGCAGGGAGACGGTAAAACATGCTCCGGTAAGGCTATACAATGCTTATAACTTCAACTGGTTCTACATGTTTACGAGTCGAATAAAATAGGGAACGCGTATGATGTCTAACGTCTTCGGAAAGCGTTGAGCACGCAACGTATCTGAAACCAGCTAAACTTCCCTCCATACGAACGTACCAGAAGCGAACCAATGGAAATTAAATTTACGCGATGGATTGCTTCTGCGGAAGGTGTTCGACGTTGCTCGCTTCTTTCCGTATATGTAACTTCCCATAAGAATTAGGAAATTATCAACTAATCTAAGGATGTAACGTCATCTTGTTATTCTGTTCAGATATAAATGAGTGCCAACCATTCAAGAACAACTGTTCCTTAGAAGCTGAGTGCTTAAATACCGAGGGCTCATATGAGTGTCGGTGTAGGCCTGGTTACCAGGGAGACGGCTTCACCTGCGTCTGTGAGTAACGTTTTGTTGTGTCTTAATTTCGTTGATAAGTCTTCTGTATTGTAAATGACACTATGTCGGCAATGTTCTGCTGGGGTCAGCAGGGAGATTTAGATAGAATATATTATCGAGGAGCAACTTTGCAATCGTTTTCTTGATAATGTTTGAGATTGCTTGTAAGATGATTCAAAAAATTGCTTTTTCCCTCTGTCTCTTTGAATAATCTTTGGATTAACATCCTTACAGTAATATTAAAGAGATGTTGCTGCCACAGAAGTGCTAAAATTATAACTGAGTCCTTATAATTAGCTCGAACACACCATTGAAATGTGCCCCAAAACACCAAGATGGAAACGTTAAATTAACTGATGAAGGGGGGACCACGTAAACGTCGACTCAAAATGAAAACTTCTGCCAGGCTCTCTCAATTTGACATCACAACTTTGAGCATTTGTAACGAATTAGATCGCTCCTTTTGTAGCTTCTGTACACTTAATTAGTAAATTTAACAAAAGTAAATCTTTATGTTAAGGTTTAAATCAATGATAAGATGTCTTTCGGGATCTGACTTTTTCGAAGCTTTGCTTATGATAGTAGCCTGTTGATATATTTTTAATATTTAATTCAAATCCTTTCAGCGGATGGCACCTGTGAAGGACTAGTTTGCGACCCAAATGCCGAATGTCTGCGATCGTTTCCCGAAGGACGCCGACAGTGCAAGTGTAAAGACGGTTGGCAGGGAGACGGTAAAACATGCTCCGGTAAGGCTATACAATGCTTATAACTTCAACTGGTCCTACATGTTTATGAGTGAAATAAAATAACAAACGCGTATGATGGTTAGCGTCTGCGGAAAGCGTCGAGGGCGCAACGCACCTAAAACCAGCTAAACTTCTGTCCATATGAACGTAACAGAAGCGAACCAATGGAAATTAAACGAACGCGATGGATTGCATCGGCGGAAGGTGTTCGACATTGTTCGCTTCTTTCCGTAGATGTAACTTCCCATAAGAATTAGGAAATCATCAACTAATCAAAGGATCTAACATTGTCTTGTTATTCTGTTCAGATATAAACGAATGTAAACCATTCAAGAACAATTGTTCCTTAGAAGCTGAGTGCTTAAACACCGAGGGCTCATATGAGTGTCGATGTAGACCTGGTTACCAAGGAGACGGTTTTACTTGCGTCTGTGAGTCACATTTTGTTCAGTGTTAATTCCTCCGTAATATTTTCTCTGTTTGGTTAAATGACACTATGTCACCGATGTTCTGCTTGGATCGGCAAGGAGATTAAAGTAGACTTGTGGTATCTAGGAGTAATTTTACAATCATTTACTTGATAATGTTTCAGATTGTTAAGGTTTAAATAAAAAAAATGCTGTTTTCGTCTATCTCTAGGACAATCTTTGGGATTAAAATCCCTTTGGTGATTTTAAAGGGACATTGCCACAGAAGTGCTAAAATTAACACTGAGTACCTCCGCTCGCATACCAGGATGAAAATATTAAGTTAACTGACGAAGGGAGAACAGCTAAAACGTCGACACAATTTGAAAACTTCTGCCAGGCTTTCTCAACTTGACAACACAACCTTGAGCGTTCGCAGCTAATTTTATTGCTCTTTTTGTAGCTTCAGTGCACCTCTCTGCTAAATTTAGCAAAAGTAGGCATCATCATATTCAAGTTTCACCCAATGGTAGTCTAGTGTGTCTGTTAATATATATTTTTGATTTTTCATTCAAATCCTTTTAGCGGATGGCACCTGTGAAGGAGTAGTTTGCGACCCGAATGCCGAATGTCTCCGATCGTTTTCCGAAAAACGCCGACAGTGCAAGTGTAAAGATGGTTGGCAGGGAGACGGTAGAACATGCTCCGGTAATGTTGTACGAAATTTATAAGTCAATCGTTTCCACTTGGAGGTTCGCCCATTCTTTTATCAGTAATTTATGTCCTTTCTCGCTCTCATTTATTATTATTATCATCATCATCATCATCATCATTATTATTATTATTATTTGCATTGTCAGATGTCGACGAATGTCAGCCATTGAAGAACAACTGTCACGGGAAGGCAGAGTGCGTAAATACTGTGGGTTCGTTTGAGTGCCGTTGCAAGCTTGGTTACCTTGGAGATGGAGTGAATTGCACGTGTAAGTGGACCTAAAACGTAAGGTGGCATGCATTGTTAATCATCATAAATCAACACAATCCTCGTCGTTGCCACTATCGTCATCATCATTATCGCCGTCAGTTTCATAGTGTCACTGATTAACACCAATGCGCAACTGGTGAAGACCTTTACTGACGCGGTTTGTTATCGTAACTTAATACGAAGGCGTGAGGTTTTAAATGACTGACCTTTATAATTTCCTCCGTTGAGTTACAGGTCAGCCAGTTTGTTGCCAAATTTTCTGTAGATACGTACTACAAACGAAATGCGAAAATTGGACATACATTTAAAATCTAAATTCATGAAACTCTCTCGTTGTGTAAGGGACGAACACACAATGTTGCATTCAGCCGACGCAGTAACATCCCTGCCGACTTCATGCCAGAGAATCACGAGATAAGCGCCACATGTTTGAACGCTGCCACAGTGGTGCCACTGGACTAATGTCAACAACACTTTTTTTTAACAATTTTCTCTCTAATACTTTCAGCTGATGGCTCTTGCGATGGAGTCTTTTGCGATGCCAACGCCATCTGCGAGGAAAGAGCTTATGGTGATCAACACCAGTGCTCATGCAGAGACGGTTGGAGAGGGAATGGAACCTACTGCGCTGGTAAGCTGCGAGAAACTGGGCATTAAGCAACGAGGGAACAAGAAAACATCCAGCAACAAGATATTTAGATTATACGTCATGATCGTGTGGTATATGTAAATCGACTCGCTGTTGGTGAAAACCTTCGAATTAAAAAGCCTTGCTTTTTCTTAGGCGGATTTTTGGTCAAGCATGCAATGAGACTGTTCGGTATCATCTTTTATGAGAAATTATTGATTTAAAAACTTCTCGGTGAATATTTGCTGGTACAAGACTAGATTTTATAGCCTCACGCTGACTGTTAATCATTTTAACCATTCATCGAGACATTCCTGGAAAGGAATCTCTTGATACTGATTCCATTATCTTGCTGTTTATTGCTGTTTATAGTATCTTTATTGTGTTGTTTGACTATTTCTTTTTTAGATATTGACGAGTGCAAATCGTCCGCAGCCAAGTGTGACCTGAATGCAGATTGCTTCAACAACCCAGGCTCTTATCAATGTCGCTGCCGGCTTGGTTACCAAGGAAACGGAACTCAATGTGTCTGTGAGTACTTAAAGAAGAAACGGAGAACGAGAACACGTTGATTTCCTTTTCAATAACATCGTTAGGGTTGCTCGGGCTGTTATATTCATCAAATTATTTCTTCTCTTCTGCAGCTGACGGCACCTGCGATGGAGTAGTATGTGATCAACATGGTGCATGCGTACCGAAGACCGCTAGCGGAAGAGATCGGCAGTGCGTTTGTGTGACTGGCTGGACAGGGGATGGACGAAGTTGTGATGGTAATTGAATAGTACATTCGTGCTATTTTGTGTTTTTGAAGTTCACTGAAGGTTTTTAAAACACAAATGGCTGTCGTTTATTTATCATTGGTTCCCTCTAAGCAGGTTTTTCACAATTTCTTAGACCTTGAAGCATTCTGTCCCTGACAAAATTTTATTTGCGAACTAAACTATAGAGTTTCTCAGCTATTTTGTCACCCTCTTCAGCCCCGTTTCTGGGTGTTGTGTCATACGGTGTGTTCGAACACAAAAACAAGGACTGTGTGCATGTTTTGCTGGCAACCCGTCTCATTTTACTTGGCACCACCTGTGAAGCTCTTTGGAAACACCTATGAGCCAAACATACTTTTTATGAAAACACGTCCTTGGGGTCCGACCAATCTTTCGTTTGTTTATGCTTCCTTCTTCTCTACACTAACCCTCTAATCTGTTCCCTGTACAGATGTGGATGAATGCCAAGCTGCAAATGACAGCTGCCATCAGCATGCTGACTGTCGCAACAGTCCTGGGTCATTTTCTTGCCGTTGCAAGCTGGGAT